AAAAAAAAAACATTCCAAGATGTACTGAAGACTGTTTATTGTCAAGTAACATAAAAATTTCAGAAAACATACCTTTTCTGGAAATCCTGGATCAACTGTACAAGACTTGTAGTAATGAAAGAGTATGTTTGGAATGATATAAAAGGCTGCCAAAACGTATAGCGGTATTAAAATCGAATTGCGAGTATGATGCTCATAAGGTAAAACAACAAAGAATTCGGATGTTACAACAAGGATTAGCAGCCCATATACCACAAAACAGAGACACTAAAATTGCAAAAATTGAAAGTAATGTTAACGATAAGGTGAAATGTTTACAAAGTAATCCAGTTAGATAAGTCATTGAGCTCAGCGGCAAACTCGTTTCAAAGAGACTGAAATGTCTTTTTCTGTTTTACCTCAATAAACATTCAGATAGTAGCAGGTGAGGTCAATTCCAGCAATTTTGCTGGTACCAGACAAAAACAAAAAGCAACAATGAAATTTACTTAATAATTAAAAGTAAATAACATATAAAATGCAAGTTGATATACTTTTAAAATATGGAAGAAAAGACGAAAACTTACGCGACCAAGATAACGTCTTACGAATATCTCCAGAAATCCAACATATGCAAAGAAAAATAATGCAAATGGCTTAACTACGGCCGAACCAAAACGAGTTAACAACACCTTAACATTTGTTCCGCCTGAAAGTCGTCGCAGTCCTGCCAGCATCAAACGAAATGCTGCTGCAAAGACAATAGTAAGTAAAAGAGAAGATACAGTATATATATGACGCATTAAACGACGCAAATAAAAAAGTATTTATCTGCACAAAACAATCTTTCTGTTTCATTTTCATCGTTTATTTACTTTTATGTAGTGCATTTGTAACAGTTAGTGTATAAAAGACAAAAATTGTCTGGATAGAAGAAAAGGAAAAATAAATTCCAACAAAAACCAAGCCCTAAAAGAAGCTAACAAACTGATGACTATGCAAATTCTGGTATGCCCCACCAGATAACATTGTTGTCTTTTTATTCGTTTTAAAGGAATTTGGAGTCTCCAAACGCATACAGCTGACAGGAACCAGTGGATCGTAAAATTATTATCAAACTGTCTTTGTTAACACAATTCTTACTGGAACAATAAAGGACAACAAAAGGTTGAAATAAGAAAGCGGAAAAGAGTGGACAGTGAATTGCGACAGCATCGGAATATCGAAGCTATACATAATGTAAATAACGTACGCCTAACTAATCTAAGGGTTTTCAGAACCTCCATTCATTTAATCTTTTGAGTGCAAAATTCAATGAATAACAACTGTATTTATCAAATTTAACTCAAAAATCAATAATGAAAATGTAAAAAACCGAAAAATAAAAATAAACGAGAAAAAAGAATACAAAAAGAGTGAATAAAATGTAACATTAAATTTCATAGCGGGACAGTAACACCGAAAAAGACTGTCTGAAGCACCAGTAAGAAGCAGAGACCAAAAAAATAGCTAATTACAGCAGATTTACATTATCCTCAGTGTTTTAAAAAAAACGTTTTATATAAAACAATAATTATTAGCGAATACACAAAAGTTTGGTTATACCAAACAGTGTTTCCCGAAAATAACTAAAGCTGCTGAAAAAAAAATTTGGCAACAAATGCAAAAACAAAAGAGTCTTTGAGAACTCTAACAAAAATAATTTGTTATAAAACAACAGCATCAGTAAGAGATTGAAAAACCTGTAGTAGAAAAAAAAAAAATAGAATAAAAATGCCATTGACGAATGAATGAAAATTAAATCAGTATCATAATCCAACTGAAATATGAAAAAATTTAGAAGCTAAAACTTGCCTTGCCAAGGAGAATGTGAAAATGGACTTTTGCTTCCTAGCGCACTAAACTCCAACTACCGAAAAAATAATGTTTGTTGTTGCCACAGCAGTCCCCTCAGAATCTCTTTAAGTTATCAAACCAAAAGTTGGAAAAATAACAACAAAAAACGGACTTAGACAGGCATTAATCCTCCTACTGGCTGATTATACTAGAAATGGCGGAAAAAAAAATGATCCATAACTCATAATTTCAACTTTTTTTTCTAAAAAGTCTTTTTTCAATATGTAACCTTTGGATATCACTGCTAACATAATTCCAATGAGTATCTAGCAAGCCATAACTGAAGCAAACATAATCATAATCAACATACTCATCCGCTGTAATTCATCACTTCCTACACTTCCCAAAATGGTTTCCACCTAAGTAAAAACAAAAAACAAAAAAAAAAAAAAAAAGAAAAAAAAGATAATAATAAAAAAGCTAGCAACTGTTGCACAATTCCAAACAAAGATGCATCATAAAACTAATAATCAGTAAAAGGTACTAGCCATAAAAGCGACAATAGATTCGAAGAATAATGACCTTTTTTGGTTCATTAGTTTGAGTGCCAATCATTATAATAACTTTAGCAAATGAAATGAACGTTTCACTCCACCAACAAAGTAATAATCATTGTATAGTTATTACAAGTGATATTTAACACAGAAAAGAACCAGTTTAGACATCTACTGAAATTATGGTAAAAACAAAAATAAAAGTTGCAACAGTAGAATTGATTGTTAGAAGGAAATCAATAACGGGAAAAAAAAAGAATACAAATGACTAAAGGAATTACCAAAGTTGACCTGGAAAAAGTATAGTAATTCCAAAAAAAAACGATAAAAATAACGAACTAAGCCACAAATTTTTACCTTACAGTAACGTAACAGATCAATAATAAGTCAAGTTATTATACTATTAGAACTTCGGAAGTTTTAATCACTCCTGCACAAATATTTGACATAATCAACTTTAACAATTCAAAATAAACGTAACTAAGTTATATTAGTCAAAAAAATTATAAAATAAGGTTTTAAAAAACTCAAAAGTAAAATTCTCTGCAGAAAATGAACTGTTTATAAGCAAAACCTGTGCTTAGTAATCTCTAGAACTTCTGAATTTACTGACAACATTCACCTGCTGGCAAAATGTTCCAAACTAGTACCATCGATATGAACAAATAAAAACATCCATTAACAGTTATTTATACTAGCCACCAAATACCAGCATTCGTACTATACATATTTATACACGTATGTACAAATGATATACGACTACCAAACACGTCCCATAATTCCGCCTTTCTAACCAAACATAACTTTATATTGTATTTCTTTCTTGAAAAGAAAATTGAAAATAAACAACTTTTTGGGAAGGTTCCAAAGAATTGAATTTCAAATCACAGAAATCATGAAACAAGCTAAACCTAATCAAAACATAAACTACTTTAGGGATTAATGTAAAAGATATGGAAGATATATAAAGTTATTTAAATTCACAGAATAATTCTTCAAAAATTTAAAGATTTAGTGCAATTTAAGCATTTAAAATGGGAAAAAATTTTTTCTTCTTCACTTAAACTATCGTTTTCAATTTTTAAATTTTCAAAAAATTATTTTACAAATCTTGATCACTTTATTCGTCCAGGACATCAGATTCTCCACAAATGTTTGGAAACCTTTGATCATTCTTAACATGAATATAGCCCTGGCATTTCCGAGAAGTTTTTGAGCTTGAAGAGACGGATTAGGCCCACCGGCGGTAAATTTTTATCTTACCGAAGGCTGTAAACTGCCTGAACTGTCATAATACCGGAGGAACTAGCAAAATGAGTCCAAGCTTTGGACATCTGCCAGGAGGCAGACACATGTGTTCATCCGCTACTTAATCGCAACCTGAACAGAGTTTAAAGAACAGACTTGAACTGTGTTGGAGGTTCGCCAAATTATTATTTTTGGCGGGAAAATACAAATTTAACGCGGGTAAGTTGTTGGTCAGTGTACCTTGAGGTGAAAGGAGCGATAAATTTGAATTCTGTAGAGTTTCTTGACTTCAAACGTCAGATGTGAGTCTAATTTTATCTTGAATAACACAAGATCTTTGCAGATTTTTATCCGTTCGTTCATGTTGTTTGGCAACTTGGCAAAGTATGTAATTTACTTTACTTTTTTTAAAGTGGTTTCATGAATTTCAGATGAATGCTAATAGTGGGGCTGCACAGAATAAAGAGTGGTCAACTAAGGATGCAGTTGGTAAGTGTATTTTATGATTATTTTTCGGAAGTTCTTTAGTTCAACATTTCATCTAGTGTTAATTTCTAGATATTATCGCGGCTTACAAAGCAGAATTTTTGTCGTCTACCATGAATAATTCATTCGCTTCGTTTTCATCAGACATTTTTGGATCGTCAGGATGCCGTGCGAGCACCATTACTAGTGTTTCTGAATTTCCTTCTAGACATGAGTTCAGCAGTGAGGAATTTGAAAAAGAGAATATTTCGGACAAAAGTGGCGGGTTATGCCCTACCGGTTCTGAAGTGACGCCTTCCCAAAAACAAGTGCTTCCAGACGAAATGAAGAAAGATTTAAAAGATGAAATTGTTTTTGCGGTCCCTGCTTTACCAAAAAGACCAGTTCGTCGGAGGTCATCGTCATTTAATAATTTTGAAACGAAGAAGAAAGAGGATATTTTAGAACGGTGTAGCTGTATGTTTTGTGTTCTCGGTTTTTATACCATCTGTGATGCTTTTGAAATCCATATATTTTTTAGTGTAATTGAAGGAAAGACTGGATTATCAAAATAAGAAGTTTTAATATCATAAACATTTTCACTGGTTGCAAAAATTTTTTTACTTAGCTGAGATTGCTATTGGGAAGGATATACAGTACCAGATATCTCCTGGAACTAAGGCGTCTAGAGAGAAGATGGAGAAGAAGCTTGCTTTTCTAAGGGCAAGAGATAACGCCAGGAAAGAAGCATTAAATGGTCTCTTTCAAAGTGTATTTTTAAACCCAATTTCTCTGTATGTAACAATATATGCGCGTTAATTAACCTTAAAGGTCAATTGTTTTCTTTTCAAGTTTTTTATTTTTAGCTTCGAAGCAAGAATTACTGGCGAGCAGACAAAAGTTTGATCCGATCGCAACGGCGAAAAGCTTTCTATCATCTCATCAGTCAAATGAAACAGGAAGCTTACCTTCAAACTCATGCGTACCTGGTAGTTCTAAGCAATTACAGTCTTCAGAAAAAATTGCCTTTGGAGATGCTACATTTACTATCCTGAGTACGCCCGGTGTGTCCAGTCATCCGATATTCAGAATTAATATTATTATTTGCTTTTCAAGTACCACATTGATTAAACGGTTTTCCAGAAGAACAATATGATGTTAGGTGGTAGTGAAACTGATAAAATCTGTTATTTTGTTGGGATTTAATGGGGTAAATGTTAATTAGCCGCTTTTGAATTCAAAAAGCCGGTAGTTTTTTTAGGGCGTCATACAAAGTGGAGTACGCCGATGAGACAGCGTTCAGAAGCTTCTGTAAACAGTGACCGTAAATTTTGGATATCATTTTTTTTTTTTTGTTACTAGTTTTATTTAAATAATCTCATATTTTTTCGCAGGTTCAGAAGGAAGCTTAGTGAACAAAGAAATCTCAGGTTTATCACGTGAAAGAAATATAGCAGCGGTGAAAACTTGGGTTAACTTTTTGATACGGCAAAGATGTGGTAGCGAAAGTTTAGGCTGTTTATTTGAAAAGGAAAGAGCGAGTATGATTTTTGCTAGCACTTAGCTAAAAGAATTTGATAGGTTTTTAAGAAGTTAAAGGTACACTGGATTTTTTATATTGACTCATGAGATCTTTAAGTAGCGGACGGCTTTCTGCGTGATGTTCTTCAAAACGGTGAGAGAAGTACTGCAAAGAAAACGTGCGAGCCGGAAGCCGTTTTAAAAATTGAGAGGGATCTGGTCATGAAAGTCGTAGTAGAGTAAGCTTTCAATCTTTTCTTCATTTTGTTCATTTGGGTTGTAAAAAAATTGAAAAAATAAGTGTGGGACAGAGAGACCAGCCAGTTGGAGAAGTATCCGCTGAACATTGTTGATTGCTGTTTTTCCTTACCTACGCTCCTTGTGAAATTCCAGACACGGGAGTTTTTTTATTGACTTCTTTAGATCCTGTTTTTTTTAGGATGAGGCGTTTAATTCGTGAAACAGATTTTCCTTCACAGGTTGATAGTTTGCTTAAAAAAGAGTGTTTTCCAGCTAGAGCTGAAGTTAACTTGCATTCTGATGTAGGTATGTATTTTTGCTTTATTAATCTGGTTCTCTATTACCAAATACAGTTTTTTATGCCGGAAGTTGATTTCAGGTTTACAGATGGATCTTCTGAAGGTCTTCTTTTCTTTCCATATTTTCTGGTTACGTTGTGGTGTGGAAGCAGTTTTCAACTGCTCTTTTAGTGGACCATCGCATATGTTGCATCACAAGCTTGCTTCTTTTGTTGTTAAGCATTTTTTCAAGGAACCCTCAATTCTCGCCAATCCAAAGTGTGCGAAAGGAAGAAACAAGTTATTATTGACGTTTTTTAACCTTATGGGCTAAGGCGTCTTGTAGACATTTGAAGACTGAGAAACGTATTTTGTTCAAAAGCATTTTAGAATTCCTTTCTTGGCTGTTTTACTTTTTGTTGAGTTGGATGGTTTTAAAGTTGAAGTTAAGTTTCTTTGGTTTTTGATGCCTGAGAATTTTAAAAATTTTTTGCTATACATTTTTTGAAAACTCAAAAATTTCTTGGGTTTTTTTTATAATGAATGCGTGTCTGTTTCAGATCTATAATCACAGATTTTGGTCGGAAAAAGCTCAGTCAGAACTTCCAGTTGAAATTTTATCTTTTTCTTTTCTTGGTGGACTCCATGAAATGTGATGAAACGTTCTTTGCTCAGACACCACCTTTATTTTTAAGAGAAAGTGGATTTAAGGTTTTTGGTTTTCTTTTTCTCATACAGTAGTTGAGACTCTTATTTGAAGGAACTTTTGAGGAAATTTTTGTGTTTTTTCTGGTATGTTTGTAAGTGTACGAACAGTAAGAATTTGAATTACAGAGTGTGTCTGACGTCGTAGCTGCAGTGCAGAAAAAAATACTTTCTGGCTCTGTTGCTCCATTCAAGCTACTTACTCGTTTGGGTTTCAAAGCGTCTCATCACCAAAGTTTCTTGGAGGATTATCAATATTTCGTTTCCGATTTATCGAGTGATTTGGGTGATGGAATTATACTAAGGTAGGCTACACCATACAAAAAAATTATTTGTTGCTGTTTTTCTATTTCATTTTCTTTATCAGTTCTGATACAGACTTTTTTGGTTTCCTAACATACTCTGATGACTATTTTTTTCATACTGTTAAATATAGTACCATTACCAGGGCCTAGAAAAACAAAGAATTTTTTGGAGTTGTAATCAAAATGCTGGATTCTTCAGTTTTAAAAGAGCAGCCTTCAAAATCTTATTTGAAGTTCCTATTAGTCAATCTTTTCGAAGTTCTAGTTGGAAATTTTCAAGTCTAATTAAGTAATTTTTTTTTCGGATCAAGGAATGCACGCCCGAACACGAATATCTTTTTTATCTTTGGTAGTATGATTTTTCTGATTCAATTTATTAGTGGTTTTTGCATTTTGTACTTTTTTATTATATATTTTAAGTTTTTTAGCAGGCTTGTTGAAGTAGTATGCGGTCTAAAACCGTATTCGTTGGGTAGCTTACTCCGTGACCCCAGTGGGGACAGATTGAGGAAATTAGGGAACGTGAAGAAAGTTATTGAGGCAGCGAAGTTAGAAGGATTAGATCTTGGAAGTCATTTTTATAATCGCTTTTCAGCTTTTTCATTTTTTGTTGTTGACCATTTTGAAATTTTTTGGTGCATATTTGATTTTGCAAAATTTTGTTAATTCTTTTAGAGGTGAAACCGGAAAACATTTTGTTAGGAAAGATCGATGATATCATGGAGATTCTTTGGCGGCTGATTGGATCTTACGTGGTAATTGGATATGTCCTTTTTCTTTTTAGTTCATTATTTAAGTTGCGAGATAAAAAAAACTTTAGAGCGCTACCGACACTTTTTTGAGTGAAGAAGACAGTAATGGGCCTGATTTGGAGCGCTTATGGTTAGCCGCTACTGTAATTCAACGTGCGTACAGAGCTCATCGGATGAGAAAGCACGGTTTAGTTAGTGAAGTACGCAGTGAGGTAACGGCACCTAGATGGAAGTTTTAGCTCTTTGTCGAGTTAAATGCGTCAACTAGTTTTTGCCAATAGTATTCAAGTTTAAAGTTTCCTGATATTATCGAACATTTCAGGATCCTTTGAAATCGGACAGAGGCGACGTTGTTTGTGAATATAAAAGTCCTGAAAGACAGTCTTTGCTTGCTGTATTTAAAGAACAAGAAAGTTCTTCTGAAGATGTTCAGGTCGGACATTTTTTTCACTTTTTATTTCTTACCAGTGATAAAGAAGTAGTTGCAAGCTTTACGTCACCTACTGGAATGTTAATTTTTTTTTTTAGAACTGAGCTATTTTGTTGGTCTTCTGCAACTTTTTATTCATTTTTGTTATGACTTAAATTACTTCTCTGAATGTTTGTTGCTGGAATTTTATTCAGGATCTTGGTTGTCAGTCATTGGTAGGTGAGAGACTTGAAGATTCAAAGCCATTTTTAACAGAAGTAGACGTCCACCCAAACAAGCCCCTCGCCGGTCATTTGCGAGAAGAATCAGATTTACAGGATGTGGTCAGTTTTCACACCTGTTTCTTTTTTCAAAGTTTCTAATTTATCGCTTTTTCCTGCTCCCGTACATGACAAGAATAATGCGATAACTTTGTAGGAGGCTGCTGGCATAAATGACCATCTGCCACATTCCAAAGCGAAGTCTGAAATGCGATTAACAAAATTAAAGCTATCAAATCTTAAAAAGGCTCAAAGGAGGGTGAGACGGGAACAGGAAAAAGTGATCAGAGAATTAAAGGTTTTTTCGTCTTGTTTGAATAAACTTTTTGCTGGTTTTTTCCCTTTGAAAGCCGTTCTTTCAGGAACTCTTTCAGAGAAAAAAAGCTGCGGTCATCATTCAAGTAAGTGCTGTTGCCTTTTGAAAGTTTAGTTTTCCTTTCTGTTTTGGTTGGTTTTTTTAAAATAAAAGTTGTGATTAACAAGTGGTTTTTACTGTCCTTAAAGTAACATTGCTTAAGAAGTACTGGAGACGCTGTATCGCAAAGAAGAGGTTGCAAATTTTGAGACACTCAAGATCTGAGGAGAAGCAAAGTGCTGCAGTTAAAATACAGGTCTTTAGCCTCAATATTTATAGTTGCTATTTGTTATATATATATATATA